CATGGTTAGAATGTTAAATAGCATAATGTAACGGAAAAATGAAAATATTATGAAATGTTGGTTTTGAAGTACATACCTCCTTCATGAGTTGTCTTAACTCTAGTGATGTCATTTGAATGAAAGGGATACAGTCCTTATCCCAAAACACAAAGCACCCAACATGGTTTTCATAGTCAACCTCAACTTCTATTTTGAATCTAAAACATGAAGAAAATAAAGTGAGTTCAATTGAGTTCAGTGTCTGAATACACATGAGGGCATATATGTATATTTGGATGATAACTTACTTAGTGATAGGTTCCACATCTTTAACTCCACAAATGCACTCAAAATTCTTTCCATGTGACTTGTTAGAGGTCTTGCAAGCAGGGCAAAACTCAAAATACCATCCAAACTTAGAGGCTTTGAATCTCTTTGTAGTGCCAATTGTCGTGGCAAAACAATCCTTTCCTAATTCATTGATGTGACGAATAGTCTTGACCTCTTTGGGGCTGGTCCAACTTTTGTTTGTTGATTGAATAGATGAATCACATGTTTGGGTCAGAGAATGTGAGGATGCAGTTGATAGTTGTATTGAAGCACCATTTTACGCATAAAAAAATCAGAATTTTCTATCATAATGTGACAGAAGTAAAATGTTGTATAATGCAAGTTAGAATACAAAACTGTTATGTAATTGACCTACAAAACTTTAATATGAGTTGGGTTACGAAATACAAAACTGAGAGTAAAATGTAAAACTGTTAGAATACAAAACTGTTAGAATACAAAACTGTTAGAATAGAAAATAGTTAGAAGTAAAATGCAAGTTACGAATATGAAAACCTTACTACCTGGATTTCAAGCATTGAACTTGGGGATGATCTAGGTTAATGTGAAGTCTAGAGCCATTCCAAGCATTTGAAAGGCTTGGGAGTCCAGAAGTTGATGCATAGACAAAGACGTGTAGTTAGAGTGCATGAGAAAGAAGAATCATTGGACAATGGAAAAATAGAGTTTGTCTAAGAGCATAGCAAACCTGAATTTTTCTTACACAAAGCATGTGTCAAAATAAGTATTGTTGGACCATCATTCTTGTTAGAGTTATTGTAGTTCATAAACTGTTTACCATAATCATCGCATAATGCAACCTCAATGACATTACCAGGTTCATCACGCGGGGTGATATTGGCGCATGATTTCTTACCACCGCCACCCATCTGAGTTTTCATAACATCTTGTAAAATTCCGATCACATCTGAAGCATCAACGAAAAATAATGAACACATGTTGGGTACAAAGATTTTATAGTATGAAAAAAGGAAAAAATACCATATAACATATCAATTTGGAAAAGTCCATTGAGAAAGTCTCCAATAGCCTTGAATTTGAACTGATGTGGAGGTATTTCCGGCATGGCAACGTTTGAAATTGTTGTTCCTCCATTAAAGACAAGTTTAAGGCTATTGGAACAAACTTTGAATAAGTCATCATTAACCACGATTCTCCATTATAAACGGCGTAAGTGTCATGTTCCTTAAGTTGTTCAACCCAATCCTTGAAATCTCGGTTCCTCGTCACAACATGAATTTGATCGTCCTGTTATATTATTTATTAGATAGCAACAACATAATGATATAAGTGCATCAAAAGTCGTCAAGTATTACCTTTCCATCTTGTATGACCAACTCGACATGTTGTTGGCCAGTTTTCTCCTTAACAACCCAAAGATCAACAACGCGTACATGCATTTTCCAAACTTGATTACCTTTCACCAAATCCTTGATAAAGATTGGAGGCCTTGACATGTTTGAGACAAAAACTGAAGAATGTATCACAATGACAAAGCAGGTCATACATCAAATAACATGTCAAGGCCCACAAAAATCTGATTTTCAAAACTATTTCCATGACAGTAGACAAAACTTATGCTGATAAAGACATGAAAAAAGATGCAATGTGATGTGGGACGGTTTATGCATCATGTAAAAAAATAAGTAAACATGTCAACAACACTTGTTATAGTTAGCCATGTAAAATTACATTTCTATGTCAAACATACAAACCAAATTTCATAGCTGTTAAAAAACAGAACACAAACATAGTGAAATATTGTTGATATTTGAACATGAATAAGTCAAAAAACAGAACACAAAAACTCATATCTTGATGATGTTTGAAAATAAACACATCCTTTTTAAAGTTATAAACTACACATGAGAACCATTCTTGAAGTTTATAAGTTTAGAAAGCAAATGTTTTGAAGTATAGAAAACAGATTTCATAGCATTTCTTCAAAACAGTTTTCCACGGAAGATTTTAAAAGTTTGTAGAAAACATAACACAAAACAAAGACGAAAACAAACGGCTTCCAAGTTTCCCGAGAAAACTCCATAAAATACATAACAAATACTTAATATCTGAAAAATGATGAAAACAATAGTGAACTAATGATGAAAACATAAGAGTTAATCTAACCTTGGAAGTGAATGAAATCTCAAAAAAATGAGTTCTTGAGATAGAAGAATACCAGGTTGAAAAAATTGTGTTGTTTAGAGTGATGAGTAGATACCAGGTTTGAAAAAATGAGTTCTTGAGATAGATGAATACCAGGTTGAACAGATACTACAGAAAAATGAGTATTTGGGGGGAGTATGGGTATTGATTGTGCCAATGTAAAGCTGCCACATGACCTTCCAAGAGAAAAGGATGGTTAGAATATAGTGTCATTTGTTAATTACTTAATAACCCTTGTTGGTGTGTAAATTTTTTTTGATTAAAGGGCAATTATAGAAAATCATTCAATAGTATAGTATTAGATAAATAGTAGATTACGCAATCTGCCTTACACTTACCCAAGACTTTTTCACTACCTCAAACATAAACCTTTTTGCAAGGCACTCCATCCCCTTTAAAAGGTGCCATGTCATTGACCAACCCATGCTTCCTGTATGATGATGTACTCATTCCGACCTGCTCCTTCGAACCACCTTTTGTCCCTTTTCCTCGAGAGTTGTTATCACCTGAACCGCCTGCTTCCTCCTCTTCTGACGTTTCCGATACACCTTCATCATCATCTGAATCTTCAGAACCTTCCGCCTCCGACCCACTACTTTTCCAACCTTCTATACGCACTGTCAATTGCTTTGGACCGTGGAAATCTTCAACTATTTTGATCCTATATCTTTTTCCATTGATTTCTAAATTAAAAACCTCGTTAAGATTGGTTGAATACTTTGTCTTCTCCGTGTTCTCATCACAGGAAACAAAAACGCCCACACAACCTGAAATGAATTTGAAAAATACATTGCACCATGCATGACATGGCAGTCTAAAACATTTAACCCACGTAAGACGATCATTATCTAGATCATCCGAGGACCAAGGATGAAAGTCGTCAAACCAAGACTGCACCCAAGCCTCATCCTCTCTGACCATTGCAATGATATCACCAGATGATGCTTCTTCCAGAAGACATAGATTACCAAACATAACTCATCTTTCTCTGACTTTAAGAGAGCTCTAGCAAAATAGTTTAAGAGAGAATTTTGAGTATTTTTTCAAACTAAACATATCAAAATTAAGGTCTGTAACAACAATATTAATATGGCAAAAACTTTATTTCACCTACACCCTTTTTGTATACACTCGTTAAAAATTTAATTTTTACCTGTTTGTTCTTATGGTTAATTAGTTGAAATGATGATAAAATCATACTTTTTAACAAGATTTAAGTTAACAATCTATTTAACTAAATTAACCATATTTCTACATATTTTTATTTAGATATCAAATGGGTGTAGAAAAGAGATGTACATATAAAATATGTCGTAAATAATATATTTTTTCTATTATCAATTTTTATTTTTTGCTTCGCTGTTGGAGATGTCTTTTCAAATTTGGATTTCTGCGATATATAATTATTATACATAACTTTAAAAGTAGAGTTGTTATGCACTATTGCAGTAAAAAGATTTAGAGAAATCATTTTTAGCCAACTTTAGAATCTAAAAAGAACTAAAACAACGTGTCATATAACATAGCTGAATTTACTTTGTGGATACATAATTATTCATAGACTTACTATATAAATAGTTATTATCAAAATCAAATAGGTCAAACATTTTTTATTAAGTGTAAAAGTTAAAACTTTTATATTAAACAATTCATTAAAATTTAGACAGGTTATAGAGCAGATCAAGCTAATGGGTCACTCAGTTACCCAATTCTTTAAAATTTAGATAGGTTATAAATCAAATCAAGCTACTGAATTACTTAAGAACTATTGAGTTATTTGTTGGATCATATGACTTTTAATAATTTTAAAATATAATTGTTTTAAAAGGATACAATTTTGATTTTTAAAATTTAACCAAATTTTATTTTTATAATTTTAATATTATTTACTTATTATAAATAATAACATCAATATGTCAGCTTAAGAAATTTATCGGTTCATTAATGTGATCAGTAAACCGACCAGATTATATCAATTTTAGATCAATTAAAATTGTAATTTGATAAATTTATTGAACTACTTTACCTTCCAATTTACGGTCTATCATTCAAAAGAGTCCGAGTTTTAAAATACTGATATTAACTGTCTATAAGATAAATGATATATTTCAATGATGTTATCTTTGTCATTGCATTAAACTCTACCTCCTAAAATCTAAATATTTTATTATTAAAAATCAATATTAAATAATATAAATATTCTTATAATAATATTCATACTAACATAAGAATAGAAAAATCCATTCGGCACCGCTTATGTAAAGACACAACGCTCGAACTGTAACTTCAAAACAGCGTTCGAACTGTCACTTTAAAACAGTATGAGAGGTGTCTACTTACATCATAATTAAAGACTAAACATAAAGCTCATATCTCAAGTCTTAATACACAAGCACCACCAACCTCAAAAACACTCTTCAATAATCACTATATAAACCCATCATCCCCATGCATGAAACTCACACCAAGCATTCAGTCTATAAGATATCATTTTATTTCTTACCATGAGTAACTTCAAGTTAGCATGTGTTGTTCTGATATGCATGGCTTTGTTGTATGCACAAAATGGTGGTGCAATTTCATGTGGACAAGTTAGTAAGAGCCTTAAGCCATGCATGCATTATCTTAAGAATGGTGGTGCTGTTTCGCCGAGCTGTTGTGCTGGCGTTAAAGGATTAGTTAATGCAGCTCGGACTATTGCTGACCGCCGCACAACTTGTGAATGCTTGAAGTCGTCTGCTGCTACTTTTAAAGAAATCATTGTAGGCTTTGCTGCTGTTCTCCCAGCAAAATGTGGAGCTAATATTCCTTACAAGATCAGTCCTTCCACCAACTGTTCTAGGTATGCATGTTTTATCTAATTATAATTATAATTAAAAATGAAAATTTTGGAGTTTCTCATGTGAATTTTAAAGTAAGGTCTAAATTATTTTTAAAAATAGTAAATAAATTTAAATAAATTCTAACTTTTTTAAAAAGGTCCTAAAGAAACTGTATTATAAGAAATCTCAATTTAGTTTAAAGATGTATAATTATTAATTTGATTTAATTACAATTTAATCTATTATTTATCTCATTTATATGTTTTTATTTATTTTAAAATTTTATTTTCTATAATTTATTTAGACGGAAAATTGATAAATTATCCAATTTTTTATTACATGTCATTAATTAAAAAAATTTAAAAAGTTAACATGTCATCTATTTTAATAAAAAATATTAGAAGGAGATAAAAACTATTGAATTTCAAATAGAATGATTAATTTTATTATTAATTTCAAATAAAAAGATCAAAATTATAATTAAATTTATAATTTTTGTTCTGATAATAAAAAGAAAAAATAAAATAAAATATTTATTTTTAATTATTAAAAATATTAATTTTTCTCATATTATTATAGGAAATAATACGAATTTTGTATATTTATTTTTGTTTTACATTTAATTTGTAAAATTTACAATGTATTGATTGCAAAAAAAAATAAATTTTATAATTGGTTTCAACTAACAGATGACTTGATAGAACAAAACAAAATATCAAATTTTAATTAAAAAATTGTTGCATGCTTAAACCAATTGAAATATAAAAAAATTATATACCCTTAAATGTGTTTCCAAACAAAAAAAAAATAATCTCTATTTTATAATACTTATACTATGAATGAGTTGTTGACTTTTTATAGTATACTAAAGTTAATGATCTTTTTTTTTTCAGTATCAAGTGAAGTGTGAAACATTATGAAGATGAATCTTCCACAAGAAATAATATATGGTACTATTATCAACTAGTGTGAAAGAGAATAAAAAGAGATGATAGGTCTACCTTTATGCAAGAGCTAGTATAAGACTATTATTAAGTTGTGACACACTTATTATATGTGTGCTTTAATGTATTTGAGGTTTTCTAGGTGTTTATTTGTATGATGTTTTTCTTTTAAAATATAAATAAAATAAGTGGTTGTTGTTATATATTTGTGCCTTTTGTATATGTCACTCTTATTTTTATTTATGTTTTAAGTAAAACTTGTATACCTTTAATTTATAAAAAAATATTACTTAAATTTGTTTCAAAATCATAATATACTTATTTGTGGAAATAGTAATCCCGTAAATAAAATGAATTTTACTTCTATAAAATATTTAAACAAATAAATATTGTATGAATTAACTTGTATTAAAATTGTATGATAATATGAATATTTCATGACTATGGAATGATCACAAAAAAATATATAATCATATATTTCTTATTATTTCAATTATTTTAAGTTGTATATTCATAAAAAAAAATTATTTAAGTGAATTAAATTAGTTTTAATATAAAAAATAGAACATAACCTAATAAAAGAAATGTGAAAAAAGTTATAAATTAAAAAGAGAATGTGAAACAATTTATAAACTAAAAAGAGAAAGTAAACGCAAAATTTGTAGTTTAAGAAAAATAATTATAAAATACCATTATTAAAAATTTCATAAAATAATCTCATTTTGTTTGTATATTTTAGTGTAGTAATAATTTATTTGTAGGCGTTTTTTTTGTTAATTACTAAAATATTTTTCATTATGGTTCGGCCTTTTAATCATGGAGTTAACTTATTGAGAGATACGCTTCGAATCCTAACATTAATAATTTTACTTATTTTGTTATAAAATGGGTGTGTCCCATTAATTTTTATATTTACATTAAAATTAAACTTTCTTTCACTATGGTCGTTACTGTCAACAATGGTAAAATGTTTTTCTTATAAATTATTACCTCCGTTCTTTTTATAAGAACCAACTCATTTTTTAAGTTTATTGAATAATTAATTAATCTAGTCTATAAACTAACCAAATACATTGATTCTTCAATGAACCTAAAAAATAAGTTGTCTCTTATATAAAGGAACGGAGGTAGTAAAACTTAACATGATATGGTTTATTTCCATCATAACATAACAGTGCTCTAGCAAAAACATCTTAGAACAAAATGACGCAAAAGCAAAGAACAATCTCCATAAACACACGAAGCAAACTCCATCATATCAAGTTCAAATCAAGGAAGGAAAAGATGAAACTTGCAAGCACTACTACGAAAAACATATATAACAATAGTTGAAAAGGGGATCACATCAAGCGTGACATGCGTTGTTACATAGGGTGTGGTTGTATGTGCACAAATCACAAATCACAATCTTACGAACGTTGTAGAAAACTTGAATGCACATTATATATGATCACAATTTCTTTAACAAACCGTGGTGGTATATACCTTTAGGCAAATAACATTTTATAACATTATAAATAACTGTTGTTGAAAGCACACATGGTTTATTATATAATACATAGATTACTTCACTACTAGAAATGTTGTATTTAGCCTCGGCCATTTTCCGACACAATAAGGCAAAAAACCGCCGCTACTAGCCAATTAGCCTCGGCGTAGCGTCGGTGTCGGGGATAGGCTAAAACGATCGAAGCTAACACTTAGCCTCGGCCAAGAAGAGCCGTGTCTAAAGTAGCCTCGGTCTAGCCGTGTCTAATTTAGTCTCGGTTTAACCGTGTCTAATTTAGCCTCGGTGAAGCCGTGTCAAAAAACAAAAAATAGCCTGGGCCTGACCGAGGCTAAAGTCAAACTCCATTAGCTCACATACTATTTAGCCTTGGTCCTGGTCGAGGATAAAGGAACATTTTGCCTCGACTTTTTCGAGGCTAAGTTCAAACTTTAAGTCAAACTCAATAGATCAATACATGTTTCAATAGCATTTATGATGAATCATAACCACAGTGCCTTCACACCAATTTCTTAACTCCAACTTAATTCATCCACTATGCGATCATGAAGATATGAAAACTATTAAATAACTGCTATTACATATGCAATTCAAAGCCGGTTAAAAGTGTTAGTTCTCGCACCGTAAAAATTTTCATGTGCTAGTATTGTAAAAGTTTTACCAATTTATATGACATAAGAAACAAATAAAAGGTAATCATCACTCTTTCTTTTTCAATATGTGTCTTTCCATTTTAAAAAAATCAACAACCTCCTTTGTCAACCACTCTAATTCTCTAGTCCAATCTATCTATAACCTATACATCCTATATAATTAAATTCTAGTACTGTCATTGTATCCTATAATCATGTCAAGGGATAACCAATTTAATTGATATAACTTCTATCATGTTTTCAAGGATAACATGTTTAAACTACTCTGCAACAACCTATACAGCAGCCTAACAACCTATGTTTAAACTTAGACAGCAGCCTAACAACCTATTTTAAACAACAACTCACCAACTAGCTGTTTAAACTACTCTGTAACAACTCTTAGCACATAACCTAAGTAGAGACCACAATAAATTCTTGGACATAACAATGGTTATGCGAGAGATGCAGCAGACTGGAACACTTAAGGTATTTGGCCCATCAATGAAACATCAAAAAAAGGGGTGGGAAAGATACATTATGAAGATGTTGCTTACTAAAGCAATGTATCATTGTTAGCTCCCAAATTCGACACTGCCTTGGGTTGCTAAACATTAAGACATAATTAATGTCTAAGTAAAATGAAGCAAAGAGGTTTCGACAGCCTCTAAGGAATTTTCTAAGCTGAACGGATGAAATAACATAGAAAAATTAAGAAGCCTAAGGTTATGAGCATTTCGACCATGTCAGAGGTCGTTTGACCAAGATTCTGCAAATAGCATTGCTACATTGTTTTGAAATTCAAAATTTGGAGGGAGGGGTTTTGTTCATAAGACACGTGGCGAGTTCTAGAGCAGGAAGTTATATGCAAATGACACTTGTTAGATCGAGAAGACACTAGGAAGTTATTAGAAGTTAATTATTAGCATTATAAATAGGGATTTGTTAGGCAGATTTCTGTGTGTTTTACCATTTGTACAAAGTAACTCCAATCAAATTTACTCAAAGTACCCGAGTGTGAGAAAAGAGTATTTTCACGGAGAATGTACGTTGTGTAAAATCACCAACTTTTCAATAAAGTCTTTTACAATTTCAGCAACATTTACATTTCCTCTGTCGAACCACTTGTGCAAGTGTTACGTTTTGCCTTTACCTTTCCTGCATCCTTTACTCCAATTCCTTCTTCCCTTTTAAACTTTTTACCTTTTTTGATCAGCCTTTTACAAATCTTTTACAGCGTTTCTTTAAGTTTATGCACTTTAAAATACCCAGTCAAAGTCTTTTTCATTACAAGCACATTTACCAATTCGTTATCACAAGTACTTTAAATTTAATTCTAAATATTGAATACTTTAGCACATGTCCTAGGATCAATCTGATCGATCCTGTGAGTCACCAAAGTCAGAATTGGAAGATCAGCGGTTGTTTTCCGATTTTCAAGGGAAACAAAATGGCACGCCCAGTGGGACGGTGCTAAATATCCCCGCGATTTAGAATTAAAACATTCTCATTCACAAGTCTTAATAATCTTCGTAGAAAGTACATTATATGTTACTAAGAAGTGGTAGAATTACCGCTGCTAACGAAGAAAGACGAACAATCCTTAGGAATATGGCGACGGAAACGAACCAGTCAAACAATCCTAACCCACAAGTCCAAGGTTCTGGCGAAGGAACCAGTAACAACATGGTCCCACCGTCTATACCATCAACAGGAGAGCAAGTAGCGCCTCCCATAAGGTCAGAACAAACCGTCGCCCCAGTAGGATCTGGGACAACGATAGTTAGGCCTTACACACAACCCGTATTGGAGTATATTGGGCCACCGGTGTCGAATCCCCAAACTCCAATAGCAGGACCATCAGTGTCAAGGAAGTTTGCCCCTCTTGGTCTTTCGCAGTTGCCAAGGAATCCCCCGTATGGGATGTCAACGACTGTAATGCAGGGACTGCAAAAT